GCAACGTGCGGTGGATGACATGTTTGCGCAGATCAAGGAGGATATCCTGCAGGGCGTCGAGGACCGAGGAGCTATTAGGCCGCCAGCGGCTATCAACGCGACCTTCGCCCAGTACTTGCGCGTGCTCGAGCTCTTCGTGCCCGAGAGTGGCTTCGTCCACGGCCGCACCTTCCCAACGGACTTCCCAACGGGCGCCGACCTGGCGGTATTGGTCGCTTTGCGAGCAGGTTTCCCCTTTGCGCAAGCACTCGAGGCTGCACACTTCGACGTGGCGACACGATACCCAAAGGTACACGCCCTGGCGGCGCGGACAGCCGCCGCGCCAACAGTGGCAGCCTACCTTAGCAAGAGCAAGACCTTCTATGCGCGCCATTCGTCCGGCAGTGTGCTATGAGCGCGCGAACGGGAATTTCTCCGATGAGGCTGGTACAGCATACTCTCTGTAACACGGCGCTCCGGACGCGGCCTTGTTTCCTAGGTGCTCGTTGCAACGGCTTCTGTGTGGCCTGCCGCCGATGCGCCCGGTCGAGGCGGCGCCCGCGACCTCGTCCAGTGCCCACCCATCCTCCCCCGCTATGACGCTCTGGGTCTTGACACGGTGCGCGGCGTATGGTAGCGCCCGTGTGCGAGGTCGGTGGAAAATACGCTCATCTCTCCGGGCGGTCTTGTCGCTGAGTGCTGCGCGCAGTCGCGCCGTCCGAATTGCTGATGGGAGCTGATGGGACACTGTCACGTCAGGTTTTTTTAATCGCGGGCCGCCAGCGCAGCGTGCCGCCGAAGATCTGCGCTTCCATGCCACCTGCAGCAACCACGTGGCGTATGAGTTCGAGGCGGGCAAATGCGGGCGCGGAGCACGTGTGGATCACATCTCCAGCAGCTGCGACGCCAATGGGGAGGCGCGGGAGCGCGGTGGATTACAATGGGAGACAGAGCGCATTTCGGGCTGTGCTGAGGTTTCGGCACGACAGAGGGCGGGCTCTCTTGGCGTGCGCTCGGGTCCAGCACACACGGCGCGGACTGATGTCGGGGGCGCATGCCAGTGTCGTTTTCGGGCGAAAGGGCTGGAGTTTGGTCAGTGTGATGGAGCTCAGAACGCCGATGATGAAAGCCTAGTACGAAGGTCGTACGGTAGCTAGA